ATCTATATTTTGTGATAACATACACTGTCGCCCGTGACAGCAGCAACACTACGTTTCTCTCACAGCAATGTAAAGGATGCTCGTACATTGTACATACCGTCTTGGTCCAGAATAGATAAGAGCTTTGAGCATCAGCAGGCATTCCAGTGGACGGAGACACTTGGCACAGAACTTCTCATCCCAAGCCTTCTTGCACCAGTCGCAATGTGTTAATACAATCACAGACCACGAACAAGAAGCATAAATATCCAGGTCGGTTGAAGCATCAAGAAACACGTCAGTCCTCTTAACAAGTCCAATTTAGAGACTCCAAAGGCTAGTCCGATCTGGTCACCAACTGACCACGACCAAGGAGCATCTCATCCTATCCCCATCACTTGACCAATAAAGTTGCCAGTGTGATTCAATCATTATCACCATCAAGTGACCGTGGGTGGACAGTGGACCACGTGTTGACACGTTATGCCGAATTAAGCAACCTCTATGGCTGACACCCGATTGCATGCTGTTATAAGCTTACTGGGAGTGTACAGCCCATTATTGGCTCTTAACGGTGGGTGTTATTTACGTTATCTAGTATTACAGTGTTGATATTATGAGGGGGCAAGGATCCAATAGTGCTGGGGCAGATTACGCTGGATGAAGCCATTGTTCGCATCGTGAGGCAATTACATGAGATGAATGCACTTGTTATAGGAAAACAACATTGCGAGCGAGTGGACACTTTAATTCAAGGCTTTCATTGCAAACATGCCAAGCTAAATTGAAATCTTGACATTCACACAATGACGACTCTTGGTTCAATATTTGAAAATGTGTTTTTAAAGGATGTCAATTTGGACATGCATGTCCTGCTTTTCATAAAACGGAAAAGATACTGCCCTACTGTCAGAGATGGAGAGGCAAGAACACAGTGTCGAGACACAATGCTTCTGTTTAAGATTTAACGATTTGTGGTCGGTTTGAAGGAAATTAACTCCGTTTATGTGTAAACCGCACTGCGGGATCTTTCTCCCTTGTAGACCAGATGGCTGGATTAACGAGGTCAGAACGCCAGTTGGCTGGATTATTGACGTCAGTACGCCAGATGGCTGGATTAGTGAGGTTATGACCCAGATGCCTGGATTACCGAGGTTGTCTAGCACAAACCTACAGCACTACGTTAAACTCACCTCACTCATCTAGGTCGAAATCTGGCCACAAAAAATCGTTGAAGAATCTCTCCCGTATACACTGACTACTACCGCCGCCATTTTGCTGGAATGTTGCTGAGTGCAGCGTTAAACATCTCTCTCTCTCTCTCTCTCTCTCTCTCTCTCTCTCACTCACTCTCTCTCTCTCTGTGTCTCGCTGCCTCTTTCTCTCTCTCTCAAATCAACGCATTATAACAACCAACTGAACGAAATACTTTGTTTCTGCTCGTAACTTAGATTACCATCAGCAAGAACTGTCAATTGGCCCGGATTTACACGCACAAAGCGACAATCAATACACGGGGCAGCCATGGGGTATCGCAGTGTTTAACAAGTGGCAAGCCCGCCTGATTTAGATGTAATAAACACAGTGATCTCGCCGCTTAAGAGCCACTAAATGTCAATGTTGATTTGCCAGGAAATGAATTGTAAATGCCAAAACTGATGTTACAATTGATAACCGAATCAGTCTTCGTACAAGGAAATTGTCTTCTCGCTGATAACCCTTCGGCAATGCGGTCTGGCGTGTTCGTTTGTGAGTGGGTGAATTTGGTTTTGTGGCGATTGTAGCGTTCTTCTAGAAATATCACAGGGGGACAACATGCTTCATAGACTGTAATCAACTGTGAATCGAAATTTCAGCGCCACTAACGAATGCTAACTCCAAAAAAAGGCTACCCGGCGTCAATCATGTTAGTAAAATATCTAAGTATAAGTAATTATATTTTTGATCAAATGAATAGTGAGTTTGGGTTTTTCGATGACAAATATTCAATCCTGAACAACCAGTGAGCGATATCATGAGCAGCAAGTTACGTTGTCAGGGAAAGAAGTCATTGCATCAATGACACTGTTCATTCTCAGAAACGATTTTCATCACGTTGCCATCATAAGCGAGAGTGGGGTATTTGCAACAATTGAAGGTATGAACCATGTGACCAGTTTTGCAGCACGATCTCAACGATCTAGACGCCAATCTAAGTGCCCGTTGACCACCATTATCGATGTTTGACCAAGACAAATTCCAGAGTGTCAAGATCACTTCTGACATTAACCTTCACGACACGCACACCTGTGACGAACAAGGATGGCCACACGACTCGGTGTATATGTACATAGTATACCCACTGAACGTACACAACAAGTCATGGGACATGACCACGACAAACACCGGGAGAATACAATCGTTAAATAAACACATTGATGCATTGATACCAGGATCTACTGCACGACATGCTTTGTAAGGAAAGCATGGAGATAGTGCTCATGAATATGCATGACCACTTGAAGCTGGAAGTCAAGTGACCATCTGCAAGATAGCATTGACGGCTTGAGAGGAGTCATGAAATGCGATACTTCAAAGACAGGCGCGATCGCTGCTACAACAGTATCACTACGCGTGTTCTGGGACCTGTAGTGCTGTAAATTATATGTCCGGTGATAAAGACAGGCCCATCACCTGGCTGTGCTGTTGGATTGTGTTAGGCAAAACGCTACTTTATAATTAAAAACAGAACTAGAGAAATAAATGTGCTTCATTTTTTCATTACCCCCTAAATTGTCTGGACATGCGAACATGTTTCTTTCAAGGAGAGGGCAAACAATTTCAAAAGCATGGATTAGTTTTTTGAAATATTCACTTTTTAAAGTATTGTTTTAAACAGAGAAGAAGAGGTTGTGGTCCCGTGGCCCTTAAAGGCTTGTAATTGTTTTCATAGAAAATACTGTCACTGGTAAAATGTGAATAACATAACATCTTTAAGACACACCAACCCACACCTCTAATGAGGTCTCTCTTCTATTTCATAACACCTCCAAAATTACTACATTCTTCACAAGAGGTTCAAAGCGGAGTCAAACCCAACTCACTCACTCACTCCACAAAAGATTAATGAATGATGTTGCTGAATTGAGTTTTGAAGCAGCGATTCACCATACATCGAACCAAGTGGCATACCCTTAAAGATGAAAACCGATTATATTATTAATGCATGGAATAGATAGACAATCGGTGTACTTATTTTGTCCACATTGGATTTACAACAAGTTTCAACAAAATCTTCCTACTCGTATAATACAAATATGAATTTTGCTCCAGATGAAAACCACTTTTGTTATCCACGCAGAAAACCTGATCTGTGATAGATAGAACGTATTTATGTCTACATGGTCACCCGAAGATGACCCCTGGTCAATATGTATTCCTTTGTCCGAACATATTTACATTATCCGAGCAGTAAGCAACAGTCGCCATACAGTATTTTGTACTCTCTCGTGCTTCAACGAACATGCACAGGAGTCCGACAAGGGGATTCTCTTTCTCCGTTTTGAAAGCAGAATCTTCAAACAGTCGATGGTCTGTGAAATATACATTCCATAGAAATCCATGTCTATCCTCTTCTATGAGAATTATATAGTTCAGGTTACAATAAAACGACGGGAATGACCCTAAACTCACCTCTGGTCATCGCTGGGTTCTAATCCACGGACCTAACGCGATGATTTACCTGTCATGGACGTGGCGCATATTGTCGCCATTTGCTCATAAATCATCTCTGACTGCTACCCATGCAAATGGACATCGGTATAACAAATAAACCGTGGCAAGGGCGGGCCTTTGAGTTTCTGGGACATTAACAATGGCATCCAAATTCGACACCTCCTGGTCATTTAATGTAAAGGATGGTCACTTGTCCGTGGAGCGGTCATTAAACTGACCATTTTGTTCAGAGAGCCTTTACAGGACTTGCTACACTTGTGTAGATACAGTATATAGATTGTTTTGGTTCATGTTTATGTTAATCATGGGAGTGGAAAATATAGAGGATTGTCACTTGTCCATGTGGGTAATTTCTAGGTCCTTACATTGACCATTGTGTTCAGAAAGCCTTTGCGAGACTTGCTACTGTAGGTACAGTGTATTGATTGTGATCGGCCATGTTTAAGCAAATCGTAGGAGAGGAAAATAAAGTTAAGAGATTCACGTTTTTAACCATCACTTCACCGGTCTGGAAATCTAGTTTTATTGGCCATGAAACGGATCATCAAGTTTCTCCCCGCTGATAATTTTTATGGAGCAGCGGGCATCAATGAAATAGGAAAATGAGATGTTCTACAATTGCAATTTTAATGTAGCAGATCTACCAGATTGGAGTTAATGTATTTATTTAGGCGGTTATTGACCTGTCAGGTGTTCATGTCACTTAGGGGTTGACTGTAAACAAAGGTTTTGTCTATACCAGAGGTGGTCCTGTCTTGATGTGGACTAGAGGGTGGTGGGGTAGCCTTGTGGTTAAAGTGTTCGCTCGTCATGCCGAAGGCCAAGGGTCGATTCCCCACATGGGTACAATGTGTGAGGCTAATGTCTGGTGCCCACTGTCGTGATATTGATGGAATATTGCTAAAACCGGCTTAAAACCATACTTATATCCTTAAAGGGGCATGCAACTCCATAAATTGGCACTAATAGCAAGACTGATTCAATGGTTGTTTTCCTTAAAAGCTCGTGGAACTCAATTTTATTCTCCAACAGTTAACGCATACCCTAATTACCCAGACACTGGTTTAGTTTCAAACGAGGTGATTATTACAGTGTCCAGGCCTCGACTGAAAACGCAGGACAGTCCATGTAGAATAGCCCCCCTTTAAATCTCAGTTTTCGACACACGTCAAAGGTTTAAGAGTCACGACATAGAACAATACGAATATCAACTTGATTTTCATGGAAATTTTAACATATGTATTACCAACAAAATGTTTCATGTCTTCGTGTTTTTCCAAATTTTAAATGCAAATGTTCATACATACCAAACTTGTGTGATTCCGTCCTTGGCGAGAGTTTCCACTGATAATCCAAAGGTAAGCATCAAAGTATACTGGAAAAAAAACAAAGAAAAATAAATTAATTGTTCGATCAATATATGGTGGTTTGATTAACCAGCCTGCACACTTTTTCCAGAACAGAACAGAATGTATTATTACATTTATCTGTGGTGACTCCATAGACGTTCTTTCAACTAAAAAACACTTGCGACTAAAACAATTTTATCCTAACTAACCATCGGCAGTTGGTTCCCCGTTAGAAAAAACCTACATCACTTAACACCAGAAACACGTCTTTGGACGCGTTTGGGTATATCGAAGGGAGATAAGCGCCGTGCATATTTCACAAACTCTCTTTTTCTGCCAAGGAAATCTCGTGTATCACGTGACTTAAAGAAAATGGCGATTGTCGCGTGCCGGGTAATTAGTGAAGGTAGTTAGTAAGTTGATCTGCGGTGCAAGGTAACAGGTGGTAGACAGGTGAATTGGCCAGAACCAGCCCAAGACAATACTCGACTCGAGAACATGGAAATATTAGATGCGCTACCCAGAAGGTCGCGTGCGAATGGTTTCAGATCTGGTTTGTAGACACAGTCTCTTCGAGGTCTTGGGTTGTGTTGATCTTAACAATGCAAGATCTGGTAGCATGTGCTCCTCGGGGACTTATCATCTGTCATCAAACGTGATCGGTGTACGAAGAATCCAGGACCGTTTTCGGAAACCTATATTAGAGGTACGACTATCGTAAGTCTGAGAGGTTGTGGGAGTTATAATGGCTGTGCTGCTACGATCGCTTTGTGAAGGAGCCTGTTTTGTTTTGTGGGTGTGGTTTTGTGGAAGACAGCTGTGAGGTTTCTTTTCATTACGATAGGGAATTTAGTTTTGCGCCGCAGTAAGCAATATCCGACATTGATCACGACGGATTTTTTTATGTTGGAGTCTTGGACACATATACCATTGATTGATCCCATAATCACAATTCCAAGCCATCGGGGTACGAGGACACGAAGCATTCCGACATTGTGGCCTCCCGATCCTCCGTTTACTTGGCTCCTATCCCAGACATGTGTGTGTGTGTGTGTGTGTGTGTGTGTGTGTGTTCCTACTAGTCCGGCCTAATCCCGTTTTCTTAGTACTTTCCCACTGGGGATCGCTGCAGTTCAACACGAATACCCAGCCAGACACAGTAAACTGTCTCCAAGCCGACCAATACCTGTTTTAGATCCTTAATGTCGAGCGTCAGGCAGGGCAACAACAAGTAAAATCTCTTAACGTCTTTTGACCGAACCATCGACCTTCCGCTCTCCGGTAGACCAACTATCAAATCTCATCAGAACAGCTGTCACTTTAAATATTAAACCACGATGTGTAATATCAATTCGTTAACCATGTACACAAGATCAGAACAAATTTGCCCATTGTACATCGCAGACATACTTAAACCGAAATCAATCCTCTGAGCCATCTGCAAAGCGGGAGTATTAGATAGACAGAGAAAATCCCAGAGGTAAATTTATACTGGACGGCACTGAAAGATTAAGGGGCAAACATGATCAACCAGCTAATGACCACTGGTCAAATACTTAGCCGCACGGGCGTATATGCTTTTCAAGGTGAAAAAGCTATGCATATTTGTCGTCTGCTTTCTCTTTGGCACGCGGCAAAAGCAGACGATATTCGCCAGCTGGTCGATGACCAAAACAATTTGAAGGGTGAACAGTGCATATGAATCATAAAGACAGCAAGGTGAAAAAAATGGCTATGGATGTCGTGGAACACAAAAGAGTTAAGTGTGGTGTTCCTGCGGAAGGCTGTTTTTGATGAAACGCCTTCGAGATCGTGTCAAATTCACATTGATCTATGGAATGCCATTAGGGGGGCTGGAGCGTGTGCGCATCGACGACAGAAAATAATAATACACACTTATTGTAAAGCATATTTGCATATTTTGAGCGGGAAATGGGTTCGACACGTGTCGGGATTATTTCTTATTTCCACCATCGCAATTAGCGATCATCGAATCTCAGAAGGTCTATGGTGTTGGTGTCCGCGCCATGTCATTAATGAAGGAAGGCTGATTGAGGGTTTGTATCTGATTTATGACACTGAGTATATAATCACACGCTATTTCCCCAGCTATTGTTACCATCAACTGTAATTCCAAGAACAGCAACACAGTATATCCTCAAGTATTAACACTCGGTACTGTTCAGTAAATCAGTATTGATACTGCCAACAGCAAAGAATCGACACACATGGCTGACATATTGCCGATGCCACGTTAAATATTCAATATTAACACACACGTCTTTGAAAGGCATAAGGGAGAGAATTTATGGATGTCAACTTCTTTTTTATGAGGAACACAACATCTTTATTGTGGTGTTCCTCATAATAGAGAAGTTGTGTTCCTCATTATAAAGATTTTGTGTTGCTCATAATAAAGAAGTTGTTCCTCATAATAAGGAGTAGTGTTCCTCATAATTAAGAAGTGGTGTTCTTCATAATAAAGAAGCTGTGTTCCTCATATTAAAGAAGCTGTGTTCCTCATAATAAAGAAGCTGTGTTCCTCATAATAAAGAAGCTGTGTTCCTCATAAAGAAGTTGACATCAATAAATTCTATTCCTTATTAACAAACGTCGACAAAAAACATGCAACATATAGTAAGCTACGGTTATAACGAACTCAAAGGGACCACTAATTTTAGTTCGTTATAACCGTAGTTCGTTATAAGCATATTTACAGCATAACTACATCAAATAGTCGGGACAAAAGAGTAAGTTCGTTATATCCGTCAGTTCGTTATAAGCGTGTTCGTTATAAACGTAGTTTACTGTAGATGTAAATGAAACGTGTCCCACTGAAGTCAATCTTTCACCGCATATGATTTGGGACGCTGGAGTGGCCTTTATGTTCGCTTGTGAATCTAAAGACCCGTGTTCGAATCCCAAGTTGTGTTAAAAGAAATTTCCAAGGCCCTGATAGTTCATGTTTGTTTGTTTGTTTGTTTGTTTGTTGTTTAACGCCACTCCACAACATTCCCGCAACATCCGGTCATCTCTAAATAAGTGATTCTGGACCAGACAATCAAGTGGTTGATGTCATGAGCATCGAGCTACGCATCTGTGATACGATGACGTTCAATCAACCAAGTCACACGATCTCTTCTTACAACAAGCATAGGAACAGTGTTACTGGTAACCTATATTCTTACAGAAACCCCACTGGCCTGATATTGCTTGAATATGGCTAGACACGACACAGAAAATTACTTACAAACTAGATTCAATAAAAACTCGACTACTTTCCATATATATTTACAACATCGGGTCTAAACCTTCTGCCTAAAGGTAATCGCGTAATGTATGCGTCATCTATTGACGCTGAACACTCGAACCATCTGACTAACTTCTCAAACAACGATATGGAACATACAAATTTAACCACAACGCTCGTTCAGGGCTGATGACACAAAAAGAGTGTCCCTTCGCAGGAAAATGTAATATCACAACCATGGAGACCGCCAACATCTGTGATGTGGTTCTGGTGAGGAATGTTAATTTGACAAGATGGCCGCTGTAATTATAGTGTAGCGTAGTCCATATGTACGTCGAAATAAACGTTAACGTCTCAGTGATCGCCTCAGTCCAACCGGAACGAGAATTAATTCTTGTAGTATTGTAAGGAAGGTCATAATCTTCGATGTTTGTCTGGGGTCATGGGAGATGTGTGTTCAACATAGGGTTTATGTGCATGTTTAAGTCAATGAATAATTATAGGAGGGTGTGTGGGCAATGTATTGACAGAAGGTCTATAAGAGCCTTACATTAACTAACAGATGGAGAAGCATACGGAAGATTAAACTCACTCCATCCAGAACTGGATACAATAATTTCGTTTACTCCTGGTTGTCGATTGTAAAAAAGGATATCGCACATGACCAATTAGTATTATTCATCACATAAAAACAGTTTCTACTTGGGTAAGCATTACAGTAAACTACGTTTATAACGAACACGCTTATAACGAACTGACGGATATAACGAACTTACTTTGTTGTCCCGACTATTTGATGTAGTTATGCTGTATGTATGCTTATAGCGAACTACGGTTATAACGAACTAAGATTTGGGGTCCCCTTGAGTTCGTTATAACCGTAGTTTACGGTAAATATAAAGGTCAGCTTAAACGTATGGACATCTATATCACTTCGAACAAAAACAGTGCTTACATCTGTAAGCCTTAACTATATACGGTTAACTTGGACGTATGGTAATGTATGTCCCTACGAACGGAATTATATGTATTAGAAATGAATATCAGATTCAACATTGTTTTATGTTTAGAGATGATTTTGTGATACTTGTGACATTAGAAGGTTAATTGTGAAAAAAGATTAATCTCAATTATTTTTATTTAATGTTTCTAGTAGGTAAACTTTAGGTCACAAAATGTATATTCTTTAATGATTCAATTCGTTAGATATATCACCAGTTGCAATACCAACATAATGCTCCAATTCGTAAATAAAATCGTCCATCCTTTCCTCATCTTTAACAAACAAAATTCACGGACATCGTCAATCTGTTGCCACATCGACATCCCCGCGAATAGATCGGCTAGACGTGATATGCTATCTTGGTTAGACAAAGGCTGTGAGTAGATCTGTATTGGATTTCTCTAATTTGTACTTCATTTACAACTTTCATGAAATATTAACAATAGAGAGGATGTTCATTTCATTATCCACCGGCGGGGTACAATAGATTACTCATGGTGTTAATTAGCCTACTCTCGTCACATGTTCATGCATGTTTGGGGCTGTATTCACTTTCTGAATAGCCCTGATGGTGTTTAATAAACACGTGCATACTTAGTGAAACACCTCTGTCTGTCAATTAGATCTTTATCAAAGGACTCCATTAATGAATCGTATATGAGTATTTGAAAAGGGTTACCATGGTAACAAGGGTGAGTTTATACTTATCGTGAATAGCGTGTTATTGCATAACAGCTATGACAAAGATATACGGGAATGGAAATCTATAATAA